TCTTACGAGGCATGGATTTAGAAACGGTACGGCAATGAACACAAGAGATACCCAACATAATGGTGAGAGCAAATACTACCAATAGTTTCTTAGTGAACTCCATAGTTTTAATGAGTGAAATGTTCGTAATCAACAGCAAAATGGAGCCTATATATAGGTGAATTATTATTATTATTTTTTTGGGAAAAGCATCGTACTAATTACAATGGAGTCTATATATAAGTTAAATTTACATAAACCATTATAGTTTACAAAGAAGTATTTTGGTATATACTTTTAAGAAAAAAAAATCGATATATCTTTTTTATAAATTATATGAAATAATTAATATAATATAGATCTGATTTTTTTCTAAATTTTCATGAATTTTTTCTTATTAGATTCCATATTTGATGTCAGATTTATTCTTATGTGATTCTATAACTTTAATACTGTATATTTTTCATAAGAATTAAAATAAGATATACTTAGATCAACCAATACGGCGTCGTTAACAAACGACTTATATGGGCCATAAGCCCATACATATATTTAAATAATGTCACCGTTTTAAGTCCAATTCACTGGTTTTTAGCGCGGTACTGACACGCGCGAAGTGTGGGCGCGTGGGAATGAATCAGATCAAACAGTTACACGCGCACAGTCTCAGAATTGGCTTGGACGAAACCAAAGATCTCTTACAACGATTGCTTCTGATTCCAAATCTTGTTTATGCCCGAAAGCTCTTTGATCTTCATCGAAACCCTTGTATCTTCCTCTACAACAAGCTAATTCAAGCTTACTCTGTTCATAGCAATCCTCATGAATCTATCTTCCTCTTCAATCTCCTCTCTTTCGATGGTCTCCGACCAAATCACCACACTTTCAATTTCGTATTTGCTGCTTCTGCTTCGATTTCGTCAGTTAGACCTTTACGGATGCTTCATTCGCAGTTTTTTAGATCCGGGTTTGAGTCAGATTCCTTCTGCTGCACTGCTTTAGTCTCTGCCTACGCGAAGCTAGGATCATTGTGTTGTGCGCGCAGGGTGTTCGACGAAATGTCTAACCGAGATGTACCAGTGTGGAATGCGATGATCACGGGTTACAAAAGACAAGGCGATATGAAGGCAGCGATGGAGTTGTTTGATTCAATGCCTTGTAAGAACGTAATCTCGTGGACCACCGTTATTTCTGGTTTTGCTCAGAACGGGAATTACTCTAAAGCTTTAACGATGTATTTGTGTATGGAGAAAGACAAATCCGTGAAACCGAATCATATTAGTGTAGCTAGTGTTCTTCCGGCTTGTGCGTTTCTTGGGGATTTGGAGGTTGGTCGAAGAATAGAAGCGTATGCTAGAGAGAACGGGTTCTTTGATAACATTTACGTCAGTAATGCTACACTAGAAATGTACTCAAAATGTGGAATGATTGATGCAGCGAAACGGATATTCGATGAAATGGGCAATCAGAGAAATTTGTGTTCATGGAACTCCATGATCTGTAGCCTAGCTACTCATGGGAAACACGCCGATGCTCTCGATCTTTATTCCCAAATGCTGGTGCGCATTTTTTCTGTTTCTTCATATCAAGCATGGTGATTCCTTGGTTTCTTATAAGAGTTATAACACTGTGATTTTCTGTTGATACTTCAGGGAAAAGGAGAAAAACCTGACGCAGTTACATTTGTTGGGTTGCTGCTAGCTTGTGTTCATGGTGGGATGGTGGTGAAGGGCAAAGAATTGTTCAAGTCCATGGAGGACGTTCACAAGATTTCCCCAAAGCTAGAGCACTACGGATGCATGATCGATCTCTTGGGGCGTGTTGGGAAGCTACAGGAAGCTTATGATCTCATCAAAACAATGCCTATGAAGTCAGATGCTGTAGTATGGGGAACCCTTTTGGGAGCTTGTAGTTTCCATGGAAATGTTGAGATAGCAGAGATAGCAAGCGAGGCGCTGTTCAAGCTTGAACCTTCAAATCCAGGTAATTGTGTGATCATGTCGAATATCTATGCAACGAATGAGAAGTGGGATGGAGTTTCGAGGATGAGAAAGATGATGAAGAAGGAAATGTTGACAAAAGCTGCTGGATATAGCTATTTAGTGGAAGTTGGAGTCGAAGTTCATAACTTTACTGTGGAAGATAAATCACACCCAAGATCTTATGAGATCTATCAGGTTCTTGATGAAATTTCCCGGAGAATGAAACCAAAGAAGAGTTACTTTGACTCTATAATGCAGCATGAACAACTATGCATATAGGAGAAGAGATTTTGTTTCTATTGAAACTGTGATTTTGATGTCGTCACATTCCTATATTCAATCAATTAGAATTTGTTTTGTTCAAATTCGGTTTACTCAGTGTGACGGTCGAATCTCACAATTAGAATCTAAGTGATTCTTTAGGGTTTGTAAAGTT